GCGACGGGGGTGGGGGCTCCCCTGAGTGCCCAGCCCCGGGAAACTCCCCTCGGCTACGGGCTTCTCTCCCACCCCCATTTGGGGAGCCATCCCGCGGGAGAGGATGGGTGCCTGGGTCCCCTTCACGGGGAGAAAAGTCCCGAACAGCAGTTCCCGGTCTTTAATTAACAACCTCTTTCTTCCACTGTCACCCCCACCTGGAGCTGGGGTCCCGGCGCCCCTCTCCGCGACGGGCAGGCCCGGGTGGGGGAAGGAGGCTGAAGGGCGCGAGCAGCCCGCTCCCTCCGCCCCTTGCCGCCCCGCCACCCCGCTCTCCAAATTGGCGCGGAACCGGCTTCTCCACAGCCTCTCGCGGCGCAGCCGGGACGGAGGGAGTGGGGGCGCTCTCACCCCACTCGTGGGGGAGGGGAGGGTGCAGAGAAGACCCATTTGGGGAGACCTTCCTGCGCTTTCGGGGTGCTGGGGTGTGCTTTGTAAATACTTGAAGACTCCACTCGCATCCTGGCTGTACAGTCGGTGGGGGAAATGCAGGCTTGTGTCCAAAATTGACGCCATGAGAGAGCGAATGTGGTGCCGGACAGCAGGGCTGGGGGATGTCGGACCACCGCCGGGGGCTTCGCTGCAGCCTCCGGGTCGGCGTCCACTGGGCACTCGGAGAACGGGATGGCGATGTGTTTGACTCGTTCTCTCTCTCCCCTCCAGAGGTTTCCTACACCTGAAGAGAAGGATGTCAAGACGCAGGTAACATTTTTTTGTCTTGGAGATATGTTTCCGTGTTAGCTGCGGCCTTTGAAACGCATGATCTACTAATTAAGCATTCTTTTTAAAAATCCACCATAGCAGCCGTTTACAAGCTAAGCAGCAGCCCCAGCCCAGCCAGACCGATTCCCCCCAAGAAGCCCAGATAATTCAGGCCAAGAAGAGGAAAACAGCCCAGGTGAGTTAAGGGGAGCGGAGAGGAGAGGAGAGACGAGACTGCTTGCTGGGACCTAGTGTAACAGCCGCCTTTTCTGTTTTTCAGGATGTCAGAAAGAGGAGAGAGGAGAAGGTCGCCCAGAAACACCAGTATGAGATTAGGGTAATGCAGAACCGGGCGGGCTGGGCTTGGCTTTGCAGTAGGTTCGCCTGACACTGTTACCTGCTGCCCCTAGAGGTCAGCAGGGAGGCGCTTCTCTTAAGGGCGGTTTGTATGTGCCTGAATCCTGCTCAAGTTTGCCTTGAAGCAGCTGGTTCCTCTTTGTGAATTCCTCCTCGGAGCTGAGCTGCCCAGTGCACCGGGCCCGCCTGATCTGCCCCATGTACTGCTCTTTGTTCCCCTGTGGCTAGAGTGGAGGGTCCTCATAGCTGCTCCTTGAGGCGCACATAGGATGCGAGGTCACGGACACCTGGCACCCAGCCCTCTGCTACCCAGGTCCTCCTGTGTGTTGTAGAGGAAACTTTAGAGACAGTGGCTCTTTGAAGCCAGCATTGATTGGGGGAAAGGGGCCTTTAAGTAGGACTTAATTGATCCCACTTGCCTCCATTTTTAAGGTTTTGCCTGAAAGTAATCTAAGGTATC